GGGAAAAAATTCATTCACTGGCATAAGTAATAGTTTAGGATCAAAGGCTGAGATCCTGCTTTAAAAAGTTTTGAGTTTGCCTTCTTCAGGCCTAAGCCACTGGGTGAATTTAGATGTTGGGAAAGATTATTACAGCTTTGCTCATGTAAAGCACTTCTTGTCTGATACCCTCTTCTTGAAAGCTCACTCGTTTCTGTTTTATTATAGGGGCTGACTGATAATATGCCAATCCCACACATCTGTCTCAGTGGGTAAATAAATCACAGGAAAGAAACATTTCAGTTTAAAGGGCAGAAATTCAAGCCTGACTTTGATTTTTGCAACCATCACCACATCATAGGTTCCCATAATTGCTACCCTGGTAGAACAAGCAATGCTGGCTAAATATGGAGACTGCCCTATTGCCATGGTGGCCTGAGCAAGAGTAGGAGCTGGTCAGACCTCCTCAGGTCCTCAGAGCTCAGCGCTTCCCTGCAGGCAGGAATGGAGAAAGGATTCCTCACTACTTACCTTAGATTTGCATCCTTGTAGATGGTTCTCTTGCATGGGCTTGGCTTCTTGAACATCGCAGGGACCAACCTAATATATGAGCTGCCTTGAAGTACTATGTCCCTTAAATTATTCTGTGTTCATTTTTATTTACTATATAGAAAGTCTCGACAACAATAGTGGTCTCATTTGATATAGAATAATGTAGAGGCAAAGGGAATTTCTCTTAAAATCACAGACAATGGGCAGATTAATAAAAGAAAAGGCATATGAATTTTATTTAACATACACATACATCTGTATATGGGAGCCATTCAAATTATGACCTCGAAAAGGGGCCAGGCGATTGAGACTTAAATATCCTCTTTATGAAGGAGAGGAAAATGGGGGGAGTGGGGGTTACAGGTACTTGCAAATTATTTTTAAGTATGAAAGAATAGGCCTGATGCTTAGATAATGGTGAGGAAAAGTTCCTTTTTGAAAACTGAATGGGCTACAGAGACAGTAGCTCAGGACAAAATCTCTTCAGGTGTATTGACTTTCCTTGATCTTCATACACTATAAGTTTAGTTAATGGAACCTTTGGAGTGGGCCAAAGGCAACTGTTTTCCTCTTTGGTGGATCCAGTCTTGAGGCAGGTCATAGAATATGAGGGCAAAGCCCGTTCCTGTACCTCGAGAGGGAAAATGGATCGAAGATGATGGAGAGACAGGGGGGCCAGGGAAGTTGAGGCTGTTTTTTTAATTCAACATTAGTTAAAGTGCCTGTCTTGGGGGTGTCATTTTCCAAGCCCAACATTAGTTTAATGTCAGCAGTTGTTTCTCACAAGATTTGGTGATGCTGTCATCTAGTATCTAAAACATAAAAAGAATTTTCTCACAGAATTCCAGCTCCCCACCCCACCTCTCTACCCAGGATTCTCAATAAGAATCAATCCTTAACAGAAATTCTTACTAAACCTTGGTAAGAAAGGGGAAAAAGAAAGAAGAGTCACAAATTAAGATGACAGGGATAGCTGAATTAGTTTATATTAAAGAGTGAGCTGGCGGCAAGGAATCAGTCTTCACTTTGGTTCTGCCTTTAGGGAGTTTATTGAATGTGCTTTTGTGATATAATTTATAAGGAAATTGGTTTTACTCAAAAGGACGTTTTTGCTTTATGCCTTGTAGCACCCTTGAGTGCTTAAAAAAGGAGAAGGTAATTCCATTAAGCTTTCAATTTTTGCTGGCAAAAGAAATGAACTAGATGTGATTGGAAAGATAAGGTCCTGGCCTTCACTTGAACTGACCTTGCTCCAGGGGTCGGGGAATAAGAAGCATGGCCTTTGTTCCAGAGATGTCATTTCATGTTTAATTAGAGGGCCAGAGTGCCATTTTTTCCTCAGGAAAGCCCAATTTCACTCTGCTGAGAAAATATCCATTAAGTTCACAGCAAGTAGATAATCTGATCATCATCCTAACCACTTTGGGAGTCCTATGTTCATTCTGGTGAGCCTCAGTGGACTAACGATCATGGTGAATGTTAAAATCAAGACATACATAGATAAGACCTAACATTTGGGAGAATTATGGATCTCTGCTTGCATTGTAGTCAACGGTCCACCTCACCCAAACCAAACGGCTTCAGTAGAATCATCACTCCCTCCTGCCCAATTCTCTTCTTGAATCTAATCCAATCATCTGGTTTTTTTTGGAGGACGCAGGAAGAAACTGTTCAAAATCAAGAAATAATCTCCATGACTCAAAGTTAAGATGTTTTCCCGTATCTCGTAGGGTTTCTAATGCAGCCAAGTCCTGTGATCCTTAATTAATAAATAGGCACCACCAAAAGAGAAGCTATAGTACAGCAAAGGCATGTTTTCATTTTTCCCATTTTGTGTAATCACTTAGTTTAATTCTATTTTTTTTCTTTTGAGAGGTTTTTACTATAGGGCACATGCAATCACCAGAAAGACAGAGAGAGACAGAGAAACTGAAAGTGAGAAATCATCCGCCAGAGGGGATGGCCACACCGCAATCCCTTCTCCTCCATTCTCCTCTTGGGATCTTGGGCATGCACAAACACACACCTGGCGTGAGTTTAAGCCGCCAAGTCTCGAACTCGAACTGCAGTCAACTACATGGGATTCCAGCAACATTGCCATTACGCCAACTGCTGATCTCCACTTAGTTTAATTCTAAAACTTCATTGTTCATATTATAGCCATTAGCCACTGTGGCTACTTATAATTAAATTTAACTATGTAAAATTAACAATTCACTTCCTCAGTTATGACAGTTACTCTCTGAGGGCTTGGCTACCATGTTGGACAGCACAGGTAATAAAACAGTTCCATTCAGAATAGAAGTCCTATTAGATAGTGCTGGTATAAAAAATAAATATTGAGGGACCAGCTACATCGCTGGACTCGCACATAGTCAACCACAGTTTGAGTCCCAGACCTGGCAGCTTAAAACTGACACCCGCTGCATATGCATATGTGCCCAAAATTCCAAGAGGAGAATGGGAGAGAAGGAATTGTGGCGTGGCCATCCCCTCTGGGGGAGGGGGTGGGGAGGGCTTTTTCACTTTCTGTCTCTCTGGGGAGTGCACACGACCTACAGCAAAATCTCTCTTAAAAAAAATGTAATTTAAAATGGCCATTCAACTACTTTAGTTAGCAGTTACATCTTTGATTTAATGGCTGAGTGTTACAGACTGATCACCTTCAATCTTGAGTCTTTTGGAGTCTCTATCTTCAGAAATACTTATTTGAAAGGTAAACTCAAGAATCTGAAGAAAGAGCTGAAGAAAGTCCATAGAATGCCACCAAAGAGTTTCACATCTTACTTGCTCATTCTCTGCTTTGTGATTTTTTTTTCCCACTCATCTTGTTGCCTACAGAAGTTCTATTGAGGAAGGGGGTGTGGCATTAAGGAAGTTGGCCACTTTGCTCTGCATGAACCAGCAGGAGTGGGTGAGGTACACAATCTCAAATTTACCAAGCAGCTAACCCTTGCTCTTCCTTTCATGTCTTCAAACAGCTAGATTGAGTCTGTTTCTATGGATGGTTAGGTAATACACTTGCTAACAACTACTCTGGCAGTTTCCATACCAGATGACACAAGAGTGACAACCACCAGTAGAAATCCTGCCTTGTTTCAGACTTGTTCTCAGACAAGATCCCAGGACAGCTGCACCATAAAGTTCATTGGTGGTTGATATTTTGTCTTAGTTTTCCACCATTAAAGTAGTTCTCTTAAGTGTTCTGCTTCTTGGGAATACATCCAGAAGGCCTAAGAGAACCTTATTATTCATTTAGCTACATGGCCGATTTATATTGTAAGGCTTTTTCATGGGATCCATTGTACCATAAAACAAATCAGTTGGTTGTTAATTTCTCAACATAATAGTATAGGAATCAAAGTCAATTCCTTTTTGGAAAGTCTGTCTCTGGGCTATCCTGGGTCCTTAAGGTAATGGGCTCTGAATACTCATACAAGGAGTAGAAATGTAGGATGACTCTCTTTTCCTAAATGATGTCATTTTTGTTTGCTCTTGAATTCAATAGTCCAATGATTAATCATTCTCACCCAAGTGGGTATTCCTTGCCACCAAATTAATTTCAAATTTCCTCTTCCTAAAAAAAAAATTGTCTTTTCATTACTCTTTCCTTTTTTTCACGCT